TATTCAATTCACATCTAGTTCTGTTCTAATTCAGATCTAGTTGAGTTCTAGTTCAGATCTAGTTCAGTTCTAGTTTTCTTCTAGTTTAGTTCTTGTTCAGTACTAGATCAGTTCTATTTCAGTTCTAGTTTAGTTCTAGTTCAGTTCTAGTTCAGTTCTAGTTCAGTTCTAGTTCAGTTCTAATTCAGTTCCAGTTCAGTTCTAGTTCTAGTTCAGTTCTAGATCAGTTCTAGTTTTATTTCAGTTCTAGTTTTAGTTCAGTTCTAGTTCAGTTCTAGTTCAGTTCTAGTTCAGTTCTAGTTCAGTTCTAGTTCAGTTCTAGTTCAGTTCTAGTTCAGTTCTAGTTCAGTTCTAGTTCAGTTCTAGTTCAGTTCTAGTTCAGTTCTAGTTCAGTTCTAGTTCAGTTCTAGATCAGTTCTAGTTCTAGTTCAGTTGTAGTTCAGTTCTAGTTCCTTTCTAGTTCAGTTTTAGTTTAGTTCTAGTTCAGTTCTAGTTCAGTTCTAGTTTAGTTTTAGTTCAGTTCTAGTTCAGTTCCAGTTTAGTTCTAGTTCAGTTCTAGTTCAGTTCTAGTTCAGTTCTAGTTCAGTTCTAGTTCAGTTCTAGTTCAGTTCTAGATCAGTTCTAGTTCAGTTCTAGTTCAGTTCTAGTTCAGTTCTAGTTCAGTTCTAGTTCAGTTCTAGTTCATTTCTAGTTCAGTTCTTGTTCAGTTCTAGTTCAGTTCTAGTTCAGTTCTAGTTCAGTTCTAGTTCAGTTCTAGTTCAGTTCTAGTTCAGTTCTAGTTCAGTTCTAGTTCTGTTCTAGTTCAGTTTTAGTTCAGTTCTAGTTCAGTTCTAGTTCAGTTCTAGTTCAGTTCTAGTTCAGTTCTAGTTCAGTTCTAGTTCAGTTCTAGTTCAGTTCTAGTTCAGTTCTAGTTCAGTTCTAGTTCAGTTCTAGTTCTAGTTCAGTCTAGTTCAGTTCTAGTTCAGTTCTAGTTCAGTTCTAGTTCAGTTCTAGTTCAGTTCTAGTTCAGTTCTAGTTCAGTTCTAGTTCAGTTCTAGTTCAGTTCTAGTTCAGTTTAGTTCAGTTCTAGTTCAGTTCTAGTTCAGTTCTAGTTCAGTTCTAGTTCAGTTCTAGTTCAGTTCTAGTTCAGTTCTAGTTCAGTTCTAGTTCAGTTCTAGTTTCAGTTCTAGTTCAGTTCTAGTTCAGTTCTAGTTCAGTTCTAGTTCAGTTCTAGTTCAGTTCTAGTTCAGTTCTAGTTCAGTTCTAGTTCAGTTCTAGTTCAGTTCTAGTTCAGTTCTAGTTCAGTTCTAGTTCAGTTCTAGTTCAGTTCTAGTTCAGTTCTAGTTCAGTTCTAGTTCAGTTCTAGTTCAGTTCTAGTTCAGTTCTAGTTCAGTTCTAGTTCAGTTCTAGTTCAGTTCTAGTTCAGTTCTAGTTTAGTTCTAGTTCAGTTTTAATGAAGTTCTAGTTTAGTTCTAGTTCTGTTCTAGTTTAGTTCAAGTTTAGTTTAGTTCTAGTTTAGTTATAATTCAGTTCTAGTTCAGTTTTATTAAACACTTTTCAAACAAAATTGTATTCCTTTTTAGTTAAATTTAAACTCAAATTATGCACATGAGCAAACTCTTTAAATTGTTCAATCAATAAATTGATTTCTAATATTTTAATCAGCTTAAAAGCTAACAACCACGACCTTGAACTTGTAAAATAATATAAGAAAACAACCAAAGATCCCTGGAGAACATTAAAATCCCAAGGACAATTCTTCAAATGCAACAACACCTTAACATACATTTTAAGTTAAACTCAATTTCTTATGAATCTATAAAAATTTAACATTTCTATCATTAGCATAAAATTTACCGCAATTTCTCAATTAATTCACTACGAATTGATAACATAATAATATTTGGCAACAAAATAATGATGTCAATTTTGTTTTTATTTAAAATATGTCCCCATAATAATTTTATTTTAGCAAAAAACCTATGTACATAAACCCCATGTATATGACGTTGTCTAAATTAATCAAATAAAATTTTGTTCTTGTTTTCAATACTGGTTTCAGTTAATGTTTAGAAAAAAAGTGAAAAAAAAGAAAGATAGAAAACATTAAAATAAATTGTATGAAAAAGAAAAATACATATAAAATAAACACAGAGCATAGAAACATAGATAAAAATAAAAATTAAAAAACACACGTAATACCAAAAACACACACACACATTTTTCATAATGGACCAATGAATTCTAACCGAATTTTAAAGATAAACATTTGACTTTTTATCTGAAAATTGTACCGGTAATTTTTATTGGATATGTTGTTGAACTTGGAAATTGGAGCAAAATGAAATGTCTTTTATCGTTGTTCAACTTTTTGATATAAAAAATTAAGCAAACTGCAGATCTTCTTTGAAATTACAGATTATAGAAAACTGAGCTGGAAGTGAAGATCAGAAGAAGAAATGAATTGGAACTAAAATAAAATTAAACTAAAATTAAACTAGAACTGAACCAGAACTGCTCAAAAACTTAACCAGAATTGAAGAATTGAATCAGATCTGGACTGATATCGAACCTACAAGAACTGGACCGGAGCTGATGTAGAGCTGGATTAGAATTGATATAGAACTGAACTAGAAATGAACAAGAAATATAACTGAACGAAATTTGAAACAAAATCTGAACTAGAATTGAACAAGAACTAGAACTGAAGAAAAACTGATCTAAAACTCAACTAGAAATCAACTAGAACTAAACTGGAACTGAAATAGAACTGAACTTGAACTGAATTAGAACTGAACTAGAACAGAACCAGAGCTGAACTAGAGCTGAACTAGAACTGAACTAGAACTGAAATAGAACTGAACTAGAGCTGAACTAGAACTGAACTAGAACTGAAATAGAACTGAACTATAACTGAACTAGAATTAAACCAGAACTGAACTAGAACTGAACTAGAACTGAACTAGAACTGAACTAGAACTGAACTAGAACTGAACTAGAACTGAACTAGAACTGAACTAGAACTGAACTAGAACTGAACTAAAACTTAACTAGAACTGAACTAGAACTGAACTAGAACTGAACTAGAACTGAACTACAACTGAACTACAACTGAACTAGAACTGAACTAGAACTGAACTAGAACTGAACTAGAACTGAACTAGAACTGAACTAGAACTGAACTAGAACTGAACTAGAACTGAACTAGAACTGAACTAGAACTGAACTAGAGCTGAACTAGAACTGAACTAGAACTGAACTAGAACTGAACTAGAACTGAACTAGAACTGAACAAGAACTGAACTAGAACTGAACTAGAACTGAACTAGAACTGAACTAGAACTGAACTAGAACTGAACTAGAACTGAACTAGAATTGAAGTAGAACTGAACTAGAACTGAACTAAAACTGAACTAGAACTGAACTAGAACTGAACTAGAAATGAACTTAACTAGAACTGAACTAGAACTGAACTAGGACTGAACTAGAACTGAATTAGAACTGAACTAGAACTAAACTAGAACTGAACTAGAACTGAACTAGAACTGAATTAGAACTGAACTAGAACTGAACTAGAACTGAACTAGGACTGAACTAGAACTGAACAAGAACTGAACTAGAACTAAACAAGAACTGAACTAGAACTGAACTAGGACTGAACTAGAACTGAACAAGAACTGAACTAGAACTAAACAAGAACTGAACAAGAACTGAACTAGAACTGAATTAGAACTGAACTAGAACTGAACTAGAACTGAATTAGAACTGAACTAGAACTGAACTAGAACTAAACTAGAACTGAACTTGAACTGGAAAAGAACTGAAATAGAACTGAACTAGAACTAAAATAGAACTGAACTAGAACTAAAATAGAACTGAAGTAGAACTGGAGTACACTAGAACTGAACTATAACTTAACTAGACCTGAACAGAACTAGAACTGTATTAGAACTGAACTAGAACTGAACTAGAACAGAACTGGAACAGAACTAGAATAGAACTAGAACAAAACTAGAACTGAACTAGAACTGAACTAGAACTGAACTAGAACTGAACTAGAACTGAACTAGAACCAAACTAGAACTGAACTAGAACTGAACTAGAACTGAACTAGAACTGAACTAGAACTGAACTAGAACTGAACTAGAACTGAACTAGAACTGAACTAGAACTGAACTAGAACTGAAATAGAACTGAACTAGAACTGAACTAGAACTGAACTAAAACTGAACTAGAACTGAATAAGAAATTAACTAGCACTGAAATAGAATAGAACTGAACTTTCTAATTAAAGACTGAAATATCTCAGAAAATTTGCTAAAATGATTTTTATACAAAAATCAATTTGTAATTTCTTAAAAAAATAAACTAAATTCATCATTTATTTAAACAAATTTTGAATAATTATGGCAATTTTTTTTTTAGTTTTTTTCTGTTAAATTTTTACTGATGACGATGATTTGTCATCAAAATCATGTGGCAGCACACTTAAACTCACGTAAAATAAATTTGATCGCGAGCGGAAAAAACTGTATGAGACGAAAGGGAGAGTAAAGCAACAGTATGATTATTTGCTGTTCTTGATTTTAGACAAGAGAATGAAACAATGAATGAATTAGAGAGAGGGAGAGAACAAATAGGAGGTGGTAAAGAGTAAAGTAATAATGAGAACATTGATGTTTAAAGGGATCGAGACAAGAGTTTTATATTTTCTATATAACGATAAACATTTTGCTTTTCTTTTCTATTATTTTATTTATTTTAGACGAAATGATTAAACCATATAAAAATGTTTTTTTTATTTTATTTTTGAGGAGTGTAGGAATATATAGACAGACAAACGAACGAACGAACAACTAAACAAACATAATTATAATTACATAATTTTTTTTGTAGTTTTTGGGGAAAATTAAATTAGAATAAAACAAGAGCACAAATAAAAATATGAATGAATTTTAAAATAAAAATATAAAATTGTTGTAAAAATTATAATTACAATTAAAAAAAAAAAAAAAACATACATTCCCAACCAAATAAATCTTATTTAGGTTTTATTTTGGTTTTCTTTTCAAAAATAGGCCTACAACAAATTATCGGGCTTGAGTTATGATTTCATGGAAATTTTCGTTTTTAAAAGTCGTTTTTTATATATTTTTTATAAATAATTTTCGTAGTTCGTTTAAAAAATATATTCGTTTAATTTTTTTTTATGTTCACTTTAAGGAAAAAAGAAAAGTTTTTCTTTTTTTCTTGTTGATTTTTAATTAGATTTATGGATTTTTTGCTTTGAGCTTAAAAAAAAAAAAGAAAAGATTAAAAAGAAATTATTAAAAAACAACAATAAAAACACATTGTTTTGTTTGTAAATTCTGAGAAAGAAAAAATTTACACATTTTTTTTAAAATTTCACGGTCACTTTTTTTAAAATTTTTTATTTTTATTTTATTTAAAATATTTCATCATATTTTTTTTTTAATTTGTTTAAACTTTTTTGCTAAGTGTATTTTTTTAGATAAAAAACTATGTATATTTTTTCAATTTTCTTTTTTTTTTTAATACTATTTTATTATAATTAAATAAAGTAAGAAAGAAGAAGTAAAAAAAAACTTTGTTGTCAAACCTCGTTTTTAGTTAATATGGAAATTATTTTGTTTATTTTAATTCATATTAAGACAAAAAAACAATAAAGAGCGTGTTTGAATAACAAAAAATCAAAATCCGTTTCTTATTATTGAAATTAAATTCAATTTTTTCTTTAATTTATTATTATATATTTTTTTTTATAAAAAGCTCCGCGCGGTATTGTTGCGTGTATTATAGAGTTTAGAGCAGTAGTAAGTAGTGAGCGAGCGCAGCGCAGTGTGAGTGCAATACAGCACAACTAAACTGAATTAACGTTTGACAAATCAAGTAGTATGAACTAAAGAAAATATTAAATAAAAACTCACAGATACACACTCTCTCACACATACATACACACACACATTCACTCATATGCTAAAACACATGGAAACGGAAAAACACTATAAAACCTAAGAAACCGTAGAAAAAGTGAGAGAAAGAGAAAAAAATCATACATCCATTCTCCAACTCGTTGTTTTGTACTCACATTCGTACGTAAAACCAATTGTATATATATCAAAGTATCTATGTATCTTTTCTTTATACTTTTCGCTGTTGTTGTTGTTGTGACGATGTAGCTATTATTGTTGTTGTGTTTGTGTGTTTATTTCTTCTATGTATTTTGTTGTTTCGTAATGTAGAAATGTTATATTTTTATTATTGTTTCTCTTTATTCCTTTATTCGATTGCATTCACTTAATCATTCTCATTTACCTTATCCGATTTTTTAGTATAATGCAGAGCGTTGCCATATAATGAAAACTACAGGTGAAAATATTTAAACACATACATAGTTGCATAGAACTGAACTAGAACTTAACTAGACCTGAACTAGAACTGAACTAGAACTGAACTAGAACTGAACTAGAACTGAACTAGAATTGAACTAGAACTGAACTAGAACTGAACTAGAACTGAACTAGAACTAGAACTGAACTAGAACTGAACTAGAACTGAATTAGAACTGAACTAGAACTGAACTAGAACTGAACTAGAACTGAACTAGAACTGAACTAGAACTGAACTAGAACTGAACTAGAACTGAACTAGAACTGAACTAGAACTGAACTAGAACTGAACTAGAACTGAACTAGAACTGAACTAGAACTGAACTAGAATTGAACTAGAACTGAATTACAACTGAACTTGAACTGAACTAGAACAGAAATAGAACTGAACTAGAACCGAACTAGAACTGAACTAGAACTGAACTAGAACTGAACTAGAACTGAACTAGAACTGAACTAGAACTGAACTAGAACCGAACTAGAACTGAACTAGAACTCAACTAGACCTGAACTAGAACTGAACTAGAACTGAACTAGAACTGAACTAGAACTGAACTGGAACTGAACTAGAACTGAACTAGAACTGAACTAGAACTGAACTAGAACTGAACTAGAACTGAACTAGAACTGAACTAGAACTGAACTAGAACTGAACTAGAACTAGAACTGAACTAGAACTGAACTAGAACTGAACTAGAACTGAACTAGAACTGAACTAGAACTGAACTAGAACTGAACTAGAACTGAATTACAACTGAACTAGAACTGAATTACAACTGAACTAGAACAGAATTAGGACTGAACTAGAAATGAACTAGAACTGAACTAGAACTGAACGAGAACTGAACGAGAACTGAACTAGAACTGAACTAGAACTGAACTAGAACTGAACTAGAACTGAACTAGAACTGAACTAGAACTGAACTAGAACTGAACTAGAACTAAACTAGAACTGAACTAGAACTGAACTAGAACTGAACTGAATTAGAACTGAACTAGAACTGAACTAGAACTGAACTAGAACTGAACTAGAACTGAACTAGAACTGAACTAGAACTGAACGAGAACTGAACTAGAACTGAACTAGAACTGAACTAGAACTGAACTAGAACTGAACTAGAACTGAACTAGAACTAAACTAGAACTGAACTAGAACTGAACTAGAACTGAACTGAATTAGAACTGAACATGAACTGAACTAGAACTGAACTAGAACTGAACTAGAACTGAACTAGAACTGAACTAGAACTGAACTAGAACTGAACTAGAACTGAACTAGAACTGAACTAGAACTGAACTAGAACTGAACTAGAACTGAACTAGAACTGAATTAGAACTGAACTAGAAATGAACTAGAACTGAACTAGAACTGAACTAGAAATGAACTAGAACTGAATTAGAACTGAACTAGAAATGAACTAGAACTGAACTAGAACTGAACTAGAACTGAACTAGAACTGAACTAGAACTGAACTAGAACTGAACTAGAACTGAACTAGAACTGAACTAGAACTGAACTAGAACTGAACTAGAACTGAACTAGAACTGAACTAGAACTGAACTAGAACTGAACTAGAACTAAATTAGAACTGAACTAGAAATGAACTAGAACTGAACCAGAACTGAACCAGAACTGAACTAGAACTAAACTAGAACTGAACTAGAAATGAACTAGAAATGAACTAGAACTGAACTAGAACTGAACTAGAACTGAACTAGAACTGAACTAGAACTGAACTAGAACTGAACTAGAACTGAACTAGAACTGAACTAGAACTGAACTAGAACTGAACTAGAACTGAACTAGAACTGAACTAGAACTGAACTAGAACTGAACTAGAACTGAACTAGAACTGAACTAGAACTGAACTAGAACTGAACTAGAACTGAACTAGAACTGAACTAGAACTGAACTAGAACTGAACTAGAACTGAACTAGAACTAAACTAGAACTGAACTAGAACTGAACTGAATTAGAACTGAACAAGAACTGAACTAGAACTGAACTAGAACTGAACTAGAACTGAACTAGAACTGAATTAGAACTGAATTAGAACTGAACTAGAAATGAACTAGAACTGAACTAGAAATGAACTAGAACTGAACTAGAACTGAACTAGCACTGAACTAGAACTGAACTTGAACTGAACTAGAACTGAACTAGAACTGAACTAGAACTGAACTTGAACTAGAACTAAACTATAATAGAACTGAATAAGAACTGAACTAGAATTGAACTAGAACTGAAGTAGGACTGAACTAGAACTGAACTGGAACTAAACTAGAACTGAACTACAGAATATATTGAATAATACAGACTATAGAATAGATTAAGTCCGGACTATAGAAAACAATAAATCATTGTTTCAAAATAATCTGGCAGCCCAAAATATAATTCTTCTCATTCTCTCTGTAGCACCCATCCATCTCCCACTTCGCACTCTCATTTTAGAATAAAAACTCAAAATCGAAATACAAAAAAACAAACACCATAATATCAATCACACAAAACAGAACCAAAAAGAAGAAAAAGACAAAATAACAAATTGCATTAAATCATATGGTTCTTAAATAATGTTTAAATACGTTTCTGGGCAAATAAAATTAAACAAATAAAAAAACGAAACAGACAAACTTTGTCTAGTCCAAACTCTAACAAATTGACGAATAAAGTCTAAGTGTAGTAAAAAAATTTACAATAAAAAATAACGAGGAAAAAATAACAACAAAATTAGAACGAAAATGTTAAAAAAATAAACATGATTACTATTATCACAAACACCACCACTAATATTATTTATAATAAGTACTAACAAACACTCTAATACGAAAAGTACGTGCATGAAAATGTGAGTACGTACTCGTATGCAAGTACCAGAACCAGGTTTGAACAGTTTGTTATAAAGGTACATTTTTTTGAGGGGGTTGTTAGAATTGAAATTAAAAGTATTTTTTTAAATTAGTTATTTGTTAGAGGTAGTACTGGTAGTAAAAGGATTACTGAAAACATTTGTCTAGAGAAATGTAAAAAGGTTATTATGGTCAGAAGGACCATAAAACAGCGGAAAATATTTCTACCCGCGAATTCGCTAGTACAATAAGAAGATTACAGAATTATGTTTAAAACTGTAAACCTGGTAATGGATTAAAAAGTGTTTTTTAAGTCTAAGTGTGTAAACATACATACAGACATACAGAAGACACAATTCAAGGTTAAATTACTACAAAAAATACCTGAAATGTCAAACAATCTGTTCATATTAAAAAAGGTAATTTTTTCAGCTTAAGAAATTGTTTATTGTTATTTACACGATTTTACGCTGCTGATCCGCTATTTTAAACCGTTTTAGCTAAACAAAACCGCAATAGGTTTTTTCTAAAAGAAAAACTGTTCTTCATTAAGTCTAACGGAGGAAAATCCGCATTAAAGTTGATATAAATCGTTGCAAAATCATATATAGTCCAGACTATAGCCTGCTCTATACTCCAGACTATAGTCTAGACTCTAGACTCTCTATAGTCCAAACTATAGATATCTCTATAGTCCAGATTATAGATATCTCTATAGTCCAGACTATAGACATCTCTATAGTCCAGACTATAGATATCTCTATAGTCCAGACTATAGATATCTCTATAGTCCAGACTATAGACATCTCTATAGTCCAGACTATAGACATCTCTATAGTCCAGACTATAGACATCTCTATAGTCCAGACTATAGACATCTCTATAGTCCAGACTATAGACATCTCTATAGTCCAGACTATAGACTTCTCTATAGTCCAGACTATAGACTTCTCTATAGTCCAGACTATAGACTTCTCTATAGTCTAGACTATAGACTTCTCTATAGTCCAGACTATAGACTTCTCTATAGTCCAGACTATAGACTTCTCTATAGTCCAGCCTATAGACTTCTCTATAGTCCAGCCTATAGACTTCTCTATAGTCCAGCCTATAGACTTCTCTATAGTCCAGACTATAGACTTCTCTATAGTCCAGCCTATAGACTTCTCTATAGTCCAGCCTATAGACATCTCTATAGTCCAGCCTATAGACTTCTTTATAGTCCAGCCTATAGATTTCTCTATAGTCCAGACTATAGACTTCTCTATAATCCAGACTATAGACTTCTCTGTATAGTCCAGACTATATACATCTCTATAGTCCAGACTATAGACATCTCAATAGTCCAGACTATAGACATCTCTATAGTCCAGACTATACATATCTATAGTCCAGACTATAGACATCTCTATAGTCCAGACTATAGACATCTCTATAGTCCAGACTATAGACATCTCTATAGTCCAGACTATAGACTTCTCTATAGTCCAGCCTATAGACTTCTCTATAGTCCAGCCTATAGACTTCTCTATAGTCCAGCCTATAGACTTCTCTATAGTCCAGCCTATAGACTTCTCTATAGTCCAGCCTATAGACTTCTCTATAATCCAGCCTATAGACTTCTCTATAATCCAGC